GGTTTAGGGTTTAGGGTTTAGGGTTTGCGTTCAGATAACGGAAATATGCAGTCGAAACCCTCAGTGCATGACGCAGGAGCTGCTGGGGGACTTGCTGCTGTTCACGAAGCACAAGAGCAGCAAAAGTGTCTCTGCTGCAGCAAGGGGACTTTTGAATCTCTTTAGGGAGACAGCCCCGCAGCTGCTGCCGCGGGCCTTTCTGGGCAAAGAGGCAGCGCTGCAGCTGCAGCGCGGCCACGTCCGTCGTCTCCTGCTGCTCCTGCTGCTGCTGCTGCTGCTGCTGCTGGTTCTTTGTACTGGAGATAAAGGAGACAAAAAGAAATTCTCGCCGGGGCCCACACTTTCTTTTTTTCTTCTCTCTTTTGCCTCCTTTTTGTCCCCACTGCCAGTTGCTTCAGTTTCTTATTAGCTGCTGCTGCTGCTGCTGCTGTGCCTTCTGTTATAGTGCGATATTTCATACTATATTTTATCTGTTTCATTTTCTTTCTTGTTTTTGTTTTTCATGTTTATAACTTTATTTATACTTTTTGCTGCTGGGCCCTTGCAGAAGTGTCTCCTTTTTCTCCTTTTTATTTCTGTCTCTTCTCCCTGATTGCCTCCCCTTGTCTGCTCTCTTTGGAGTTCTCTAGGGTTTAGGGTTTAGGGTTTAGGGTTTAGGGTTTAGGGTTTCCTTAGCTGCTTTGGCTGGCGACTCGCCCGCGTGTTTCATCTAAAGTGCTGCAATTTATGTTTATATTTATATTTATATTTATATTTATACTTATATTTGTATTTATATATATTTATATTTATATTTACATTTATATTTGTATTTCATATTTATATTTGTGTTTTTATTTTCGTTTATTTTATATGTCTAATTTAAGAGACAAAAGGAGACAAAAAGAAGCAAAAGAGTTAAAAAAGGAAAATGGAAAAAGACAAAAAGAAAGAAAGAGACAAAAATAAAAGGAAACAAAAGTGTGGGGTTTGGCTGCATGCATTCAGGTGTCTCTTCCTGTCTTTGGGGCTTTGAGTCATTCCACAACTTTGGATTTGCTGCCGCAGTTGGAGGCCCTGAAGAAGCAGTCGAAGCAGCAGCTGCAGCAGCTGCTGCTGCAGCAGCAGCAGCAGCAGCAGGGCGAGGAGACAGACGGGGGAGACAGCGACACGGAGGAGACAGACGGAGACAGCGAAGCAGATTCCGACTCGGAAGCAGCAGCAGACTCCGAGACAGAAGCAGCAACAGACACGGAGGCAGACGCAGCAGCAGCAGCAGACGCAGAAGCAGCAGCAGCAGCAGCAGACACAGAAGCAGAGACAGACTCTGAAAAAGGAGACACGGAGGACGGAGGCACTTCGACAGACGAGGAGACAGAACACGAGCCCGACCCACAGCAGCAACAGCAGCAGCAGCAGCAGCAGGAAGACCCAGCAGAGGCCTTAGACACAGCAGCAGCAGCAGCAGCAGCAGCAGCAGCGCCGATGGGGGGAGAAAGGCTGCTGTCTGATGCCGATTTTGCTGCTCTCAAGCTGCTGCGGGCGAAGCAACTTGCGCAGCAAATAAGGGGGGGCCCCCGGAGGGGTGGGGGCCCCCAGGTGGACTTGGAAAGAGACCAGAAGCTGCTGAAGCTGCTGGGGGCAGGCAGCAGCAGCAGCAGCAGCAGCAGCAGCAGCGAGGACGGAGACAGCGAGGAGGAGACAGAAGGGACGGGGGTGCGCGCTGCTGCTTCGAGCTAAGAAATAAACAAGTTAGAAATTAAAAGAATTAAAATCAAAAGGAAATAAATAAAAAATGAAAATAAATAAATTTAAAATTAAAAATAAATGAAATTTATCCAAGAGACACAAAAGGCAACGTTCGCAGCGGCAGGCCTCAGCAGCAAAACGGGCCTTGGGTTTTTTTTTCGATTTTTCGCCAATTAAGAACACTTCAATGCGCTCCTGCTGCTGCTGCTGCTGCTGCTGCCGCTGCTGCTGCTGCTGCTGCTGAGGACCAGGAGGGCTTCGTGTCGGAGAGGGACTTGGAGGGCCTGGCGGGGCGGAAGCGGCGGCGGGCGCGGGAAAGGGAAAGAGACAGAGAAGAAAAACTTTTAAAAAAGAGACACTTGGGAAATAAAAAAGTGTCTCCAAAAGAGACAGACACCTCGCGGGCCTCCAAGCCCCAGCGCGTGAAAAACAGAAGCAAACCCCTCCTCATGGTTCAGCAGGTTCGCCAAGTTCGGGGTTTAGCGTTTAGGGTTTAGGGTTTAGGGTTTGGGGCTTGGGGTTTAGGTCTCTTTTTGTCTCTCCTAGATGGAACATTTTCTCTCTTTTTGTCTCCTTCCACTTTAAACATTTTAATCTCTTTTGTCTCCTTAAAATAGAACATTGTGTGTCCTTTGTCTCTTCAAAAATAAAAGGTTCTGTCCCTCTTTGTCTCTTATAATTAAAACCGTTTTGTCTCTTCCTGTCGCCTTTAAAAAAGAACACTTCTCTCTCTTTTCGTCTCTTTTTGTCTCCTTTAAAATAAGACTTTTGTCTCTTTTTGTTTCTTTTAAAGTAAAACATAAAACCCTTTTGTCTCTTATAAAACTAAGAACACTTAGTCTCTTTTGTCTCTTTTAAATCCAAAAAAAAAACTTTTTTGTTTTTTTTCAGAGTCGGCGTTTGCGGGAAAAGAAACAGTTGAGTGTACAGGAGAAAGCAGCAAATTTGAAACGCAAAATCAAAAACCTAAAAAAGAGCCAAGTCGGAAAACCCAGGAGACGCAAGAGGTAATCCTCGCAGCTAGCTAGCTAGCTAGCTAGCTAGCTAGCCAGCCACCTGGGTAGCTAGCTGGGTAGCTCGCTAGCTAGCTGGGTTGCTCGCTAGGTGGCCAACTGGCTAGCTAGCTAGCTAGCAGGCTGGCGCGCAGCTTGCCAGAACGTGCGTGCTGGCTAGCTAGCTAGCTAGCTCTCAAG